TGTCCCCATCCCTGTCCCCATCCCTGTGTCCCCATCCCTGTGTCCCCATCCCTGTCCCCATCCCTGTGTCGCCATCCCTGTGTCCCCATCCCTGTCCCCATCCCTGTCCCCATCCCTGTCCCCACCCCTGTGTCCCCATGTCCCCAAATCCCCATCCCACGTCCCCTGCACCCCTGGCCGTGTCCCTGTGTGTGACACTGGTGTCCCCATGTGTGTCACCCAATATCCCCACATGTCCCCACATGTGTCACCCATGTCCCCATGTGTGACACCTCTGTCCCCATGTCCCCACGTGTGTCCCTGCTATCCCCACATGTGCCACCTCCGTCCCCGCTGTCCCCACATGTGTCACCCGTGTCCCGCCCGTGTGTTGGTCATGTCCCCACGCGCGTCACCGATATCCCTACATGTGACATCTCCGTCCCTGTGTCCCCATGTGTGACACCTTTGTCCCCACTGTCCCCACGTGTGTCACTGATATCCCCACGTGTGTCACCTCCATCCATGCTGTCCCCACACGTGTCCCCAATATCCCCACCTGTGACACCGATATCCCTGAGTGTAACATCTCCGTCCCCGTGTCCCCGCGCATGTCCCCACTGTCCCCACGCGTGTCCCTGTGTCCCCGCATGTGACGCCCCGCGTGTCCCTGTGTCCCCAGCGTGTCCCTGTGTCCCCAGCATGTCCCCGTTGTCCCCACGTGTGTCCCCGCTATCCCCACGCATGTCGCCTGTGTCCCCAGCGTGTCCCCGCTGTCCCCGCGCGTGACACCCCGCGTGTCCCCGCGTCCCCAGCGTGTCCCCGCTGTCCCTGCGCGTGACACCCCGTGTGTCCCCGCGTCCCCAGCGTGTCCCCGTGTCCCCGCTGTCCCCGCGCGTGACACCCCGCGTGTCCCCGCGTCCCCAGCGTGTCCCCGCTGTCCCCGCGCGTGACACCCCGTGTGTCCCCGCGTCCCCAGCGTGTCCCCGTGTCCCCGCTGTCCCCGCCCGTGACACCCCGCGTGTCCCCGCGTCCCCAGCGTGCGGGCAGGCGGCGGGCGGCGCGGAGGACGCGGGCGAGGCGGAGGCGGGCTGGATCGAGGGCGCGGCCATCCTGCTCTCGGTGGCCTGCGTGGTGCTGGTGACGGCGTCCAACGACTGGAGCAAGGAGCGGCAGTTCCGCGGGCTGCAGAGCCGCCTGGAGCGCGAGCAGCGCGTGGCCGTGCTGCGCGGGGGCCGCCTGGCGCAGCTGCCCGTGGCCGACCTGGTGGTGGGCGACGTGGTGCAGGTCAAGTACGGTGAGTGCCCGAGGGGGCACGGGGGGCGTGGGGTTGTGGGGTTGGGGGTTGTGGGGTGGTTGTGGG